CCCCAAAACCCCAAAACCCCAAAACCCCAAAACCCCAAAACCCCGAAAGACTAATAAATCACAAGATAAGAAATCATTTTAAATTAAAAATTATCATAAAAATACAAAAAATTGAGTTAGAATTATATCCTTACTACATAATATTGAAAAAGTTCCCTTATCAGTATTTAGTTGACCCCTCACTACCATGCTTCTTCAAAGGAGAGGTTCTATGTTTATTATGGCTAATTTTCTCTTTGATCTAATAGATTGCCTAGCCATTGAATTGCTCTGGGGTGTTTATTAGCTTTTGATCTCTGGTGATATTTTACTCTGATTACATCTTAATAGCAGCAAAAGCACTAACTGTTACTTTACCACTTGATTATACATTACTATTAGAATTTTTAATGACTTAGCTTGAACGTTTAGATCCACTGTCAAAGAAGCCTTATCTGTGAGCATTCATATTAGTCTTGCTTATTTTATTAGGGGTACTATGAATAGATTATTTTATGTTGGTATTTGCGCTTTAATTGATGATTTGTTAAGACAATCTCATTGCTTCTGTTGTCTTAGGTTTATGATGAGACATTGAAAAGCCTTGAGCAATCATAGATAACTTGAGATTTGTATCTGATTTTTACGATATTATTCGCTCGAGTATAGTCCTACCTGATTGTTAAGATGTAAAGGATTCATGAGTTTACTTAATTAAAGAGCTATTTCTTTTCTCATCTTAACGACTTCCCTTTCGCTACGCACTTTTCTTAAGCTACTATATCCCCTCGCAATTGTTAATCTTGTTGAGAATGTTATTCTAATCTTTTGGGGAGACTATACTGCTCTATATTTTGTATTTCCTAAAGCTTATCTGTTGGCTCTTAAAAGAAGGAGATGAGTTGAGAATTTAATCATCGAGAGTCGGAGCAGATCTTTATTAATTTTAAAAGCTCTCTTACAGTGTAAAGAAATGTGTTAGTTTTGCTTTCAAAACATGATTTTCTTGAATGAGTTCCTCATTTTAGCTCTATATTTCTATATATGTAGACTCCTGAAGACTCAACTTGTTTAAAATATCTTTATTTTCTTCTTTCAACTTAGCAATATAAGATTGGCTAGCCTATTCCTATTCAGCTTTAACCTAAATGATTGTCTGCAAAGCCTCTTTTTCCTTGGCAATCTCATTATACTTATTTTCTCTTACTTGAATTTATAGAGCTTGTTACTGTACTTGCAGCTCTAAACCTTGCATTTTAGTAGACATCTGCTAAATCTTATCTACCATTGCTGTTATCTATTGTGATTACTTAGCTATTATTTCATCATCTTAAAAGATAGACTGCTAATTCATTGGAGTCATCTATATAATGTAGTCCTATTCCTATTCAATAATACTTGAGTCCTCTAAAATCTAGCTTTAAGGTACTTATAGTTAAGATGCTGATGGCTTAATAGATTAGGCCTGCTGAAGTATTTTTTCTTCGACTTGAATGAGTGATCCTAGATCATCATCATTATCTTAGAAAACCATATGATTGCTATTGTCATGATTTGTGTTAACTTATAGATTGTGAACTTTATTACTTGATTCTCCAACATTTTCATCACCATCTTCGCCATAATCAATATCACTTTGAATATCTTCATTTATATCTTAAATTCTATGTCTATACTGTCTCAGATTATTAGACTGCTCATCATCTATATCATCTTCCCCTCTATCCTCTCCATCATCAGATGTTTGTTTCTTATTTCTAGTGGGTGAGAAATTCTACTGTTCATCATTGTCATATTCATTGTAATCGGTAAGCTGATCAAACATTGAAATTTAACCATAGAGTTAAGCCAATTCTAGGTGATTGATATCTTCATTTAGATTTTATACTCCTGCATTCGCATTATTCTATATACCACCTAAGCCAGGATTCGCATTGCTGTGTTTGACTGATTAAGGGATGTTCGTGGATTCCTTATAATTAACATGCTTCATTACTGAAGTATGATTAGGCTTCACGATTTGCTACTCAGTGTCATAATCAGTGTTTATCTTTTATTAAGACAAATAGTTGTTATTGGTTTGCTTGTTATTTAGTTAATTTCCTTAAGACATGTAATTCACAGAATTATCTTGGACATGATTAGTTTATTGATATGAGGTGTTAAGTGCATTGAATTCTTGAACGAAATCAACACTAAGCTTTTCATCTTGAAAGTTGCCGGCCTTGTTAATGTTGTTTTTTATATCTTTAATATGAGGCTAATCAAAAGTGTTATTGATTGATGAGTCCTTGCGGTGACTTTCCTGCAATAGATTATTGTTGATTAGTGATTTAGCAAAGTCATCTACTGTATTAATCTCATCAATAATTCTGAAGGACTAACTCACCAAGTTGTTCTAGCTGTCAAAGTCTTCAGCCTGTGGAGGCTAAGTTGTTAATTTCAACTTAAGCAAATCTTTCCCACCAGTTTTATCTCTATGCGCTTCCTACTCAAGCTCAATTATTGAGTGGTTCACTATCAAGTCTTCAATTTTAATCTTCTAATCGCCTATTTCAATAAGCCCTGGATTTTGTTAATGTGCTTGATCTGGCTGATTCGCATTTTTCTTATTTGTGTTATGACGAGAAGTAGCTTCTGAGGACATTTAGCGCATCTCCTTTCTTTAAGTTCTGCTTCTACGCTGCTTAAAGTTGATAGAACTCATTGAAGAATTATTAGGATCCTAATTTCTTCCTATAAAGTTAATCTAGTTATGATTGGTGCTAATTAGTTTTTCAGTAGATTAAGATTGCTTTCTCATATGCCCCTCCTCAATAAACATTGCATACAGCTGAGCATTTCGCCCATGAAAGTACTATGAAGAACTCAGTGACATGATTTCAGGTTTCTCCTCTTCCTGATGATTATTGTTATTACCGAAGAACTCTTAAGAGCTAAACACTTAATTGTCATCTTCAAAAGGTTAGTCTTATGGTATTGTCTACAATTGCTGTGAAGTTTAAATAATCAAGTCTAGTCTTTCATTGGAACTAAAGTAAATCTGTCTCTTATTTAGTTTATCATCCCTTGCTGAGTTCAACATTGATTAATTTCTGGGATCATCAATGAATTAGGACGAATTAGCAATATCATTAATGTTGTTTTCTGACATAGATTGATTTAGCATCGCATGAGTCATTTGTCTGCTTCTCTTGTCTGGACTCCCAATCTTATTCTAATTAGATTAGTTAGGCCCACCTAAAGCAATTCCTGGTATATTGTTAAGTTTTCTGACCTCCAACTATGATTGCTTTCCACTTCCTTAAGATCATAGGTTCTATATCTGCTAATAATTCTAATTCTTGAGAGGACTTATATTGCTATTACCATTAGTAAATTTGATAGAACTGTTTGGAGTAGGGTTATTGCTTTGCTGACTATAGCCACTCTACCCATCCTTGAGTCTACTGGGTTTATCACTCTGAAGTCTCCCGCTACTTTAGATTTTCTTGGCTGGGGACAGATTGGATTAAGAATCATGGTGATGATGCTGTGATGTCTTCTTAACCCCGTTAATGCTTTAATGATGAAGTTTTAATACTGGAGTCATGAATGGCGGATTTATTTTAGCCTTGTGCGAGGAATCATTCGAAGAATTTCTGATTGATTTCTATGGCGTTTAGTTGGCTGATGGCTACTATTATTTCTCCATACAAATAAAATTTATAATTATTTATTAATTAAACTTAAAGAAAATGGTCAAGGACCTCTAGGGTTTGCTTGCTCTAACATTAAGACTTTATGGCATTCTTACCAGTCAGAAATGAAAATTTATTCTTTTATGATAATGAGAATGCCTACTGTAGAAGGCTTTAACGAGCCTGACTTTGTAAAATACTCATTGTTACCTAATAATGAATGCGTATCTCTAACATTGTTACATATCTTTTGTGGTTCAGAAAATCAGTTTAATATTCAAATGTCAGCTGCTAATTCTACCATTGGCACTGATGGGGTTTTGGGGTTTTGGGGTTTTGGGGTTTTGGGG